ACTTGGTCATTGACTTGGTCATTGACTCGATCTTTAACTTGGTCATTGACTTGGTCATTGACTTGGTCATTGACTCGATCTTTAACTTGGTCGTTGACTTGGTTGTTGACTTGATCGTTGACTTTGATCATTGACTTGGTTGCTAACTTGGTCATTGATTTTGATCATTGACTTGATCGTTGACTTGGTTGTTGACTTTGATCATTGACTTGGTCTTTGACTCAGTCGTTGACTTGGTCATTGATTTAATTGTTTGGGATAACAGAATGGCATTTATTGAGATGAGAAGATCCGTGTGAAGGAAGAGCTTATTTGAGATACTTATTGGATATCTGAGTAGCTGTCCCATAAGCAGCTCGACATTCAAGAACAGTGAAACTAATGAAAGGAACCATCAGTTGATACTGGATAACTGAAGCTTGTCATCTTTAGTCTGTCTACCATGACAGTCTGACGACTGAACATGTACAAACTTAACCTTGTTTATCGTCACCTCCTCCACTCTGTCCCTGCCATTTCCCCTTCAGGCTCCTGCCTCCCTGGTGCCATCTTTCCATCCTAACTCCCACACTCCCCCACAAGTAACTCCCTACAAAACCCAGAAAAACAAACCCACTGCTATCAAGTCCATACTGACTCACAGTGACCCTGCAGAACAGGAGAGAAGTGCTCTGTTGTGTTTCCGAGGCTGTAAATCTTTATAGAAGCAGACTACCTCATCTCTCTCCCACAGGGCAGCTGGTGGCTTTGAACCACTGGCCTTTCAGTCAGCAACCCAATGCTTAATCTACTGTACCATCATAGCTTCTATAGTTTCCAAGATACATCAGAGATTTGCCTCGCAGCTCTGGGCTTCTGTCTACACATCTCCAAACCTGAATCCAGTGCTCTCTCTTGAATATCTGACAAAACTCAGTAAACTAGGAAAGCTATGTCTTTGAGAACTCAACACACCCACCCACCAAAGAAGTTGGCAGTGCCCCATTCCCAAATAATCGAGTAGGACTTTGACCATATGTTTTTCACCATCTCAGAGATTCTGCTTTTAGATATGACTGGCATCTGTCTCTCTCCCCAGAACATCTTGCTACAGAATCAGTCTCTTTTCAAACTAACAATCCCTGACAGGGACGGAGTACCCAGTAAGCAAGGGTACTTGGGCACCCATGTGAAATCATTCACCACAGATTAGTAAAGCACAAGTAATCCAGTAAGTAAGCACAAGTCAACTCATGCTTACTTTGATTACTAGGCAATCTAGCCCTGATCTTGACCATGATTTCACCTTGGGTGGTCTATAAATTTCTTACTGTTCTCTTCGTTGTTTTAATATCTTGAATGAAGAAGCTAGCAGTTTCCCCTCTTCACTTTTTATCACCATCTGGGGTGCTTATATTTGGAGTTCTGGTGTGGCTCTGTGAGTTAATGGACTGTATTGCAAAAACAGAAGTTCAAGCTCACCAGCCACTCCTCGGAAACCCTATACAGGGTCGCTATGGATCAGAACCGACTCAACAGCACTTAACAGCAACAACAAAGTTAGTGATGGCACTTGCTGCCAAGCAGTCAGATAGTAATCAACCTGCCTGAGGAGGGTGTTAAGGATGATGACACCCCCCCCCCCACAGAGTTGTTGACCTAACTCTCAGGCTGGTTTCCAAGGACTAGCACCTTCATAGGGATGAGTAAAAGATAGCCCCCAAATGTTATATTTACAACTGCCAAAAAATGGTCATAATCAATATATAAATCATCAGGCCCTATAAATTAAATGGAGCAATCTTAGAGAGGGCATCTTGTACAGACCACAGTCAACAAAAACAGACAAGTGGAGTTGAAAATTGCCACTTGTGATGGATTGAATATATGTTTTAAATCATATCTTCTGTATCTGTAGTCTTTGTTATGTTAATGAGACAGGATTCGTATAGGCAGTGCATTAAGTCCATGTCTTTTGAGATATAAAAGGGTTTAAACAAGTAAGCAAAAGAAGCAAAGATGGGGTTTAAGATAGATGCCATGACACATGGAGATCTCCAAGAAACCACGAAGCAGAACTGAGGAGATAAAGGCCTGCCTCCAATGCCAGCAGAGAGAGAAAGCCTTCCTCTCAAGCCAGCACTCTGAATTCGGACTTCTAGCCTCCTAAACGGTGAGAAAGTACATTTCTGTTTGTTAAAGTCAACCAGTCACTTGTGGCATTTCAGTTCTCACAGCATTAGATAACTAAGAACACCTTTTAAGACTTCTTTGAGCACAGAGTAAAAGTAATAAATCTGCTCTTACCTGTGACCAAAAGGTCAAGGGGGTTGCTGGGCCTTGACCAGTAGAGGGGTTGTTCTTTTAAAGAACCATAGCATCTGTAGGTTCCACCATCAGTCAGCGTCACAGGGAAGATGATGAAGGTGTTGTGGCTCTGAGAGAAACGGTCCTGAAGTAAGACGTTGCTGCCATTTTTGAACAGATAAAAGCTGTCAAAGTGATGCACTGAGTGACAAGAGAGGGTCACATTTTCTCCTGAGGTCACACGGGGACCATGATGAGCAGTCAGGGAGAGTGTGTCGTTGTAGCCTCCTGGAAGAGAACAGAGCGTGATACTACCAGGAAGTCACTCTCTGCCATTCACAAAGGAGGAAACCAAGGTGAAATGCACCCATTCACTCTTATTGCTCTACAGGGATCACAAGGACAAAACAAAACAAAATACTGTTCTTATTTTCCCGTGACCTGGTATCAGAGAGTTGTTGTATGTCCAGAGGACGAGCAGAATATCTATTCCACATGAAGTGTAGTTCCTTAGCGACTCCAGCCTCCTCTCTGAAGGGAGATTGGGCCAGAGTCAGTACAGAGGGATGATGGAAACAAAACAGTTGAGGAGATTGGGCAGGGGTCAATAATAGGTAGGTACCAAGTTCTGGGAGACAGATACCAACACTGGGGACATTGCACTGAGGTGGCCCTTACCTGTCACCACCAGCTCCAGTAAGTCACTTCGTGTCGACCAGTTCCCGTTATTAAAGAACTCACAGTAGTATGTCCTTGCACTGTCTGACGTCACATTCTGGATGAAGAACTCAACCACCTGCTGGTCATCCTGAAGGAATTTGGTATCAAAATTTCCATGTCCTATACTTCTCAGGAGCATTGTAGTCATTCCTGAAGGTCCCTTGCAGAGAATGGTCACAGTACTCCTCTGGGGAATCACAGTACCTGGCACTGCCCAGATGGAAGGCTTAATCACTAGAAAAGAAATAAAACCTGGAGTTTTAACACATCCTGATGTCAGAAAACTCCCCTTCTTGGACACTATGGTCAACAGGCATAACAGTCTCCAAAGACAATGGTCTACATCCTACTTTGGTGAATAGCAACTGGGATCTTAAAAGGTCATAACCATCTAAGGTAAACTACTGGTCTCTACCTGTCCAGAGAAAAGAAGAGTCATGCAAATTGAAGACACTTGTAAACAATTAGTTCAGGGGACTGATGAACCATGTGAACATCATTCTCCATGACCCCGAGACCAGAAGAACTCGATGGTGCCCAGCTACCATTATCAACTGCTCTGAAAGGGATCACATTAGAAGACAGAGTGGGAGAAAAACATGGAACAAAACTCAAAAGCGTAACAAAAATCAGGCTTACTGATCAGCTAGAGACTGGCAGATCTCCTGAGACTACAGCCCTTGGTCAGTGTTCAGGTCTGAAACTGAACTCACCCCGTGGCTCAGTTTGAACCACGAACCTTGAGTTTAGCATCCCAGTACTTAACCCATTGTGCCACTAGTGTACCTTAATTAAGAATACAAGCAAAACAAAAATGAAAAATAGTTGCCATGAAGTTGATTCCTACTCATGGCGATCCCACGATTGCCGTAATAGAACTACTCCATAGGGTTTTCAAAGCTGTGATCCTTCAGAAGCAAATAACCAGACACTGGTTTCTTCTGAGGTATAGTTGAGTAGGTTTGAACCACCAAAATATAGAGATGTTTATATTGCTAATAATTAGGTATACAAGTATGAGCTAAAACTGGTGGTTCTCAATAAAGGAAAACCTACCTCTGGGGTTGGTTAGAATAGTGAGACAATTTGGCGCTTAACCATTTGTATTGTATAATTAGAGATCTTGATATGTGGTCTACAATATAAAGACATACAACTTGCAGATCTGGTAACAGAACTGATGTTTCAGCTGACATACGTGTTTGAGTAGGAATTAGCTAGGTGATATGGACAGTCAAGATTGAGCATTAACACACAGCTTGATGTCAGTAAACGATGTCACCAAAAAGTACACACAAAAAAGGACCTGTTGGTAATTACTTTGGAATCTACAACTTTGAAACAAAATCAAATACAACCAAAAAATATATGTATGGGTATATGTGTATGTATGTAGGCATATATGTGTATAGATATGAACATATGTGCATATAAAACACATGGGACTAATTCTTAGACATAAACATATACCTCGACGGACTGAATTTCTGGGTTTGAAGGAAAAGAACCACAGATCAGAGAATTGGCATAGTGTAGTTCATAAAGTTATATCCTACATCCTAATTTGGTGGGTAGAATCTGGAGTCTTAAAAGCTTGCAAGTAGCATCTAAGATAAAACTATTAGTTTCTGCTCATTCAGAACTAAAGAGAAAAAAGAAAAATCTAAGAAAACTCAAAGAAACTAGTCTAAGGACAACTAAATCTACATGAACCACAGCCTCATCTACCTTGAGACCAGAAGAACTAGAGGGTGTGTGGCTACCTCTACCAATCATACTAATCAGGGTTATGATAGATGGATCCTGATAAAATGAGAGAAAAATGCAGACCAGATTCTCATCAAAAAACACACTTACTGGACAGTTGAGACTAAAGGACTCCCTAATACTATACCCTGAAATATCTCTCAAACCTTGACCCAAACTAAGAAAAAACTGCTCTCCTTTAAAAAAAAAATCAACTTTATGAGACCAATAAATGACTTTAAGACAAAGATAGGAAAGTAAGGGGTTAGAGAGCTAGAATGATGGAAATGGAACAACTAGAATGGAAATAATGGAAATGCTCACACATTTCACATTGTGAAGAATGTAACCGTTGTCACTAAACAACTAGTGTGTAAATTGCTGAGTGGGAACCTAAACTGCTGTGCAGAGGAGGAGCCAAGATGGTGGACTAAACAGATAACGCTACTCAGACCCTCTACAAGAAAGAAAAGGAAAACCAAATGCAATACACATAGACGGCAATCCTGGAACCCTGAGCTTCATAGGAAAGGTTGGAGATGTGGACCAAACACTTAGTGGAAGGTAAGGCCGAGGGGGCAGTGAAGAAGGGAGGTAGGAGAACAAACAAGATGGCGGATCTGATGGAAGTGCAGTAAGGAGCTCTGTCAGCAACAACACAGAATACAGGACCAAGCAGGCTCAGGGGATGGTCCCAGAACTCTGAACTACATATAAAGGAATATTTAGAAGGTTGGAAGGCTTACAGCTGGGGGAATTTGTGACAGAAGCAAGAAATCCATTGCTTTCTAGTCCAGGATGCTTAGCTGCTCCAGGATCCGCCATCTTGGGTGAGACAATGTGGGGGAAGGATCTGAACAGCCACAGACACCTGACAGAACCACAGAGATAAAGGTGTGGACATTCTTTTCTTTTGGTATCTGTTCATTGGTCCCTTGCTATCTGTGCACCTCCATTCTGGTGACTATAGGGGTGCCTGAGCTAGTGGACACCCCAGCCCCACCTTTGGAGGGTTCTACTATGCATGTGCAGAGATCTCCTCGAAATTAAAAGAGACAGTTTCCACTTAAAACCAAATGGCCACAGTTGGCACTGAACTGTTGATAACTAGAAAAAAAGACCAGAACGGGGATTGTGGAGCGGGACAAACAGACAAAAAAGGAAACAGGCCAAAAACTAAATCCTAAGTTACGTCAAAACAACCAACAGTGGTATCTTGAAACTTCTCAGGAAGAAGAGTGAAAAGGGAAGCCCATTTTCTGATCACATCTACCTGGAGGCAATCAGAAAGCATAAAAAATACCAAAATACATACCCATCTAAGTATTAAGGCCACAGATAACCCCTGAATATGCCCAAAAAACAGAAGCAAATGACCATATCTGCACATGTCCAGAAAAAAGACAAAGTGACTGAGGCATAATAACCTGGAAGTAGACCTACACTCCATACTGGAAGATGGGCAGGCTTCAGAAATGCCTGAGACGGAATTCAGAAAAATGATTATAAAATGTTTCAAAATACTATACAATGGAGTTGAGAAAAATAAGAAGTAAGGAAAGTGCTACAGGAACAGTCAAATAAGATAAATACAGCATTGGATACAATTTAAAACCTACAGAAAGAGGTCCAAACGATTAACAGAAATGGACAACACACTGAAAGGGCAAAGAATTGAAGAGATAGAAGCCAGAACTAGTGTGCTAGAAGATAAATCTCTCAACGCTACTAAGATGGAAGAGTAAATACAAAAAAGGATTTAAAAAATCTGAAGAAGGCCTAAGATTCATGTTGGACATTCAGATAGACATTAAATGATCACTGCAAAGGCAAAGTTTCTCTTCTGCAAGGAGAGGAGATATCTAAAATGCTGATACCCAAAAACATAAAGAGGAATAACATAAGAATTATTGGCATTCCAGAACAGAAACACTCACACAAGTCCACAGAGGAGATAGTTGAAGAGCTTCTGGAAGAAAACTTTCCTAACATCATGAAAAGTGAAAAGATAAGCATTCAAGAAGCTCCACAACCCCCAGGATGGATAGACCCTAAAAGACAATCACCAAGACATATAATAATCAAGCTCTCCAAAATCAAATCTAAAGACAGGATCTTGAAAGCAGCTAGGGAAAAGAGAAATATAACATACAGAGGCAAGCAAATCAGATTAAGCTTGGATCTCTCAACAGAAACCATGCAGGCAAGAAGGCAATGGGGAGACATATATA